ACTCGCTGCACCAACTGCTGCATTCACACCCGCCATGGCTGCCATGCACCACAGGAACATGGGTGTGTTTCAGCCCGTGCTGCTTCCACACGCTTCCCAGTGGCGTGATGGTCGACTCCCTTGGTGCTGCTGTCGTCAGCATCAACAGCAACCACGACCACACAGCCCACGGCACGCATGCTGATGGTGACACAACAACTCTGGAAGGGCCTGTCTGCGCAAACGTATCCATCACAGCGACAGTTCACAACATGCTGTCCACGCCTATGCGCATGAACGTCACTGCAAGCGTGCAGGGTGTACGTGTGTGGCGGGTGGTGGACACGGCTGCCAACACGTCAACAACCGTTTCATTCAACAGCACCAGGCATCCAGAGCTATCGCGCGTGTGTAATATCTCCCTGTGGTGGCCCTGGCGATTCGGTCCACAGCCACGCACCCCAGTTTCCATCCACATCACACAGGCACGCACGTTGTGTGTGTGTGTGTGTGTGTGTGTGTGTGTGTGTGTGTGTGAACGAGTGTGTGGGGGGAGAGGAGAATTATACGCTCAGGGTTTTGTGCAAGCGTTTCCCAGGTCTCTGTGAATGTGTCTTTGTGTTTCGTCCACCTTTGCCCGCGGGTTCGTCGGCGCACCATCAGACTCCACACCCATCCTCTCGTTCAACGCCGCCGTCATCACACCCCAAATTTACATGCGTCCTCACAGAACCAGGCCACTCTTGCCTCTGCCACGCGTCACATCGGCCTGCGTAAAGTGGTATGTGCTCAACGGGTATATGAGTTGCGCGCCCGTGTGTGTGTGTGTGTGTGTGTGTGTGTGTGTGTGTGTGTGTGTGTGTGTGTGTGTGTGTGTGTGTGTGTGTGTATGTGTGTGCGTGCGTGCGTTGCGGTCCGCCCGATTGGAATTGGATACACCCAAAACTTCACACAAGAAACACACGCACGCGTGACGTGGGCCTGCACACTGCCGATACGCGAGACAATGACCTCACACGCAAACACGTGCATGTATTCTCACGATTGCTCACACGTACGCGCATCAACACAAACACACATTCCGCATGCTCGCACAACACCATAACACGCTCCTCTTGTTTTCACGACACGTGTATGCACCAGACGTCTGTTCGCGATGCCAACGGGTACCGTCTCTTCTACGTGAACGATCGCAAGTTCATGGTGTACGGTGGTGGCTACTCACCTCACCTCTTCCTTCGCTACAACACATCATACCAGGTGGGCTATGCACGCTGCTTGCTGCCAGAGTTTCGTGTGTGCGCTGGGTCCCTTACAGCTCTGCTCGCTCAACTGTACTCATGTCTGACTGCCCACCCAAAGTCGCACGCACCGGTGCATTCGTAGCGATGTGTGCCCATGCATTCGCCTGCCTTACCACATCGTTCACGCTCTTGATGATGACCCAAACCAACCGCCTCTGCGTGTCTGCTGTTGTGCGTGCGTGCGTGTGTGTGTGTGTGTATGTGTGTATGTGTGTGTGTGTGTGCGTCGCAGCGAGCGATGCTGGAGAAGGTGAAGCAGATGGGGCTGAACACGATCCGCCTCGAAGGAAAGATGATGACTGCAGAGTTCTTCGAGATGACAGACGAGATGGGCATCATGGTTCTCCCAGGTTGGATGCACTGTCGTTCGAAAACGCGCTCAGGCATGCATGCACGCACGCACCAGCTAGATGCGCTGTGTTGCCTGTGCGAGACCCCATGCTTGTTCCAATCTTACACACACACATACAAACATGCGAACACACACACACACACGTGCGAACACATACGAACATGCGAACACATGCAGGCTGGTGCTGCTGTGATGCGTGGCAGCACTGGAGCGATTGGAAGGACGAACAGCACTTGATAGCGATGGAATCCATGCGATCACAGGTGTGTGTGCATGTGTGTGCGTTGTTTTGTTGTGAGCTGCCGGTGTTGTCTGGCCTTCCTCAATCGTCTATGTTCCACCCATCGCCACGTTTGCATCCCCCAACACACACACACACACACACACGCACGCACACGCACACACGCACACGCACGCAGTTCCGGCGCTTGCGCGCGCATGCGTCTGTGCTCGGGTTTCTGTATGGGAGTGATGAAGCCCCACCGTCACATGTGGAGAACGAATATTTGCGTGTCCGGGAGGACGAGTACTGGCACCTGCCCTTTATCTCATGTGCGTCACACGCTGTGTGTGCACTCGTTTGTTCGCTTGCTTGCTTGTGTGTGTGTGTGTGTGTGTGTGTGTGTGTGAGCGTCACGTGCAGTGCGTGTTATGACCCAACCGTGCACTCAGTAACAGAGTGTCACCACAATCACTGAACCCAAGCCCCACCCAGCATCTCTTCATTGTGTGAACCTGTAACCTCCCGCCCCGCCCCCTTCATCCCGCTGTTTTGCGACAACTGCAGCTGCAAGCAACGTGTCGACGCCGGCTGGAGGTCGAACAGGTGTGAAGATGAACGGTCCATATGCATGGGTGCCGCCGCTCTACTGGTATCAAGGATTGGTGAGTTGAGCGTGTGTGTCGTGTCGCAATGTCATGTCATGTGTTTGCGTTTCACTGCATGCTGTGAACATCGACGGCAGCTCGCATGAAATTTCATGTGCGTGTTTGTCCGCTTTCCGTGTGGGCATGTGACCCTGTTCAGAGGTTTTTTTTTTTTTCGAACAAGCCAGTTCACAACTGAATGCACATCCCCACGCTCATCATCGCCTATCATCGCTCATTCGTTTCCACATGCGCACGTTTAAGGCCCACGTGTCCTCGGGCGCTGCGTTTGGATTCTCGACAGAAATCAGCCCCGGAGCGGCGCCAGTTCGGCTTCGCAGGTGCCACACCACAACCTGCACTCAGGGGTTGCAGCCAAGGCTTGGAGTCAAGGCTTGCACGCATTGTTTTGAAACCCTGTTGACATGCCTCCAGCACGAGCAGGCTCACGCTCACATGCATGCACGTGTATGCACGCACACATGCACAGCGCGAAGAAGATGTTTGAAGCAAACGAGCTGTGGCCGATCAACGACGTTTGGGACTTCCACTGCGGTTCGCAGTTGGTACGTGCCTGCAAGCAAACCTGCCACATCACCAGATTCAGACCCGCTCCCTCAAACTGCACTGTCCGTGGCATCCATGACGCTCGCACACATGAACACACACGCACACACATGAACACATACACACGTACTCGCGTACAACCGCACGACCCAATCCACACACACGCACACACGTACGTTCGTGCGTGCAATTATGATTTCAGGGCTTGTTCCATGACCTGCGGTTCTTCGTTCCACCGTTGACCGCCCGTGTTGGGGCAGCAAACAGCATTGAGGTGTGTTGTGTGGTCCTGATCTGTGAAGTTGGTGCTTCTTCGTTTTGCTCTGCTTGCGCTGCGGAATCGACGTATGTATGTATGTATGTACGTATGTATGTGTGTTTGTGTGTGTCTGTACATGTGTCTGTGTATGTTCATATGTGTACATGCGTGTGCTTTTTGGAAGGCTGGATGAGGAGCATGCTTCGCACTCTGCACATGTACTTCCGCTCACAGATACTGTGTTGCGCTTGCAGGAGTTTCTGTTCAAGAGCCAGTTGATGACATACGAAGCTGAACGTGCAATGTTCGATGCCTACTCTACGTTTAAGTATCGTAACAGCACAGGTGCGTCGTTGCGCAGACTACAACGTGTACTTGCTCGCTCGCTTGTGTGTTTGTGTATATGTGTGTATGTGTGTTTGTGGTTTTATGTCTTGTTCATGGTGAATAGCGTGCCTCCATCCTTGCCATGGTATTGCGCGCGTGTGCTTTGGTTGTTTGCATGTACTCACGCAAGCACACCTGCACGCAACCTCACCTGCTGCCATCCTTGGCTCAGGCGTTGTTCACTGGATGCTCAACAATCCATTCCCGTCGCTAATCTGGCATCTGATCGGTGCGTCAGACCAACAACATCTTCAAAGCTACACAGGGCTGCTACCTTCAGCAGCAACTGTTGGCACGCCTCTGACAAACACACCACACCGTTTCACGCATGCACGAAGTTCTCGTCAGTACATCCACACGCTCACATTCATACTCATTACCACAAACACAAACACACATTAACAAACATCCACAACCAAACACGTGCGCACACACCAGACTTTTACGGCGACGGTGGCGGCGGTTTCTTCGGCACACGTGCTGCGCTCCTGCCGTCAACACACGCGGTATTCAACCCGTCATCAGGCGCCATATCTGTTGTGCGCAACGACGTGGTACAGGGTTCATCGCTACTCGACCTTCATGTCCAGATATGGAGGTGCGCGTGCATGGTGACGACGAGTGGCTCGTCTCGCCAGATTTCCCTGCTTTCGCGGCTTGCGACTGACTGCAACTCGACGGCCTGTGTTATGTGTGTGTGTGTGTGTTGTGTGTGCGCGCGTGTGTGTGTGTGCGTGTGTGTGTGTGTATGTGTGTGTGCGTGTTTTTTCTTTGATGCAGTTCATTTCACACCACTCGCAACTGCTTTATCTGTGACGTGCAGCACCGGGAGTGAACTGCTGTGGAATGACAGTGTTCGCATTGGATCAATTGGGGCAGACGACGCCCTTCTTGATGTCACGAACATTCAGACGCATCTCAGTCACTTTTGTGCCGCCCAGCCACGCCGCACCCTCCTCATTCATCTCCTCGTGAAGAATCAAGACAATGTGGTCCGAACAAGCGCCTGCCTGCGATTGTTGTGGTTCCTGTACTTGTGTGGGCACGCCGTTGTCTGTATTCCCCCACCCTCACTCTCACACTTCAACTCACGCCGGCCGATGACATCGCACACGCACGCAGACCGAGGATGATCAGACGTACTGGCACCCATGTCGGCCAGACGTACTGGACTGGAGCAACTCCACATTCTACATCACCTACTGTTCACAGTTCGCCAACTTCTCTGACTTGTGGTGTGTGCGCGTGCATGCATGCATCTGTGTGTGTGTGTGTGTGTGTGTGTGTGTGTGTGTGTGTGTGTGTGTGTGTGTGTGTGCGTGCGTGTTCCGTTTGATGTCCATACTTGGTATGTGTGCCCATGGGCGCTTGGTTTGTTGCCGCCTCTCACCCCGATTGCCCTGTCTCTTCCGACAGCAATATTGAGCCTGCTCAGCTTGACATCCACCTGGTCGACGCCGTTCATGTGCAGGTGAGAACACACTGATTAGCACGGCCACTTCCCCAATGATTGACATGGTTGCATTGCGATGGAGTACACACTCACCTTGATATCTGTGTGGCACTGGGCAGGTCACGAATCCACGACACACGATCGCATTCTTCGTGGAGTTTGACGTCATTGACGAGGTCGGTGCTCGTGTGTGCATGTGTGTTTGTGTGCATTACAAGGTACTGCCCTCACATGGATCTCGCACAAAGCACACGATGCCCCGGGCTCACCATTCCATTCACTTTACTTGCTCCTTTTCAGGAAAGCGGCGTTTCGGTGGATGGCTACGCGTTCAATGACAACTACATCACACTGCACCCCGGCGCGACACGCACGCTGACGCTCAATCAAGCAATTGAGGGCGACGTGAAAGTTGCCTACAAGGACCTGTCATCGTCCCATTGTACGCGAGAGCCGACCACAAAGATGTAGCTTTTCGCAACAGACAGAGCAAGGGACAAGGGGACCACAACCAAGCAGAGCTACTCCTAAACCCCCGTTATTACCCCAGCCCAAAGCCGCACGAAAAAAGCAGAAAGAGCGCTCTCTCTCTCTCTCTGAGCTTGCATGCAATTTCTACATCCACATTGATGTGTGTAGCTTGCTTCTGGTGTTCTCTTCTTCTTGCATCTTTTATCAAACGAGTACAGTGCTCCGCTATGCTCTGCTGTCTTGGAGAGTACATGAGCGCTACAAAGAGCAACACAGTACAGGTACATAGATATGTAGTTCAGCTATCCCTCCAGTGCGGTGCCCCAGCGCACATGAAACATAAGAAACATAGACCGGAGATTCTTGGGAGAACAACAGCTGGCAAGGAAGCACCGAAGCAACGAGCAGTTGAGCAGAAAGAGAACAAAAGAAGGGTGGCACTGATATTGTGAGCCAAGCGTTGGCTGTTTAGGGACAAGGACCAACTCGACAACCAGAAAACAGAGATCACACGCAGCAAAAGGCAAGAGACAACAGATGATGATGAAATGGGAGGAGGGCTGAGCAAGTGAGCTCAGGACCTGCCTTCTTTATAAAGCAAGCCAGCAAGCAGGCAAGATGACTGTGGTTCTTCTGGCAATGCACTTCTTCCCGACGTACATACTTGCCCTTCTTGCAGCAGCAAACAGGTGGCAGGTAGGAAGTCGACAGAGCGTGCAAGAGCTGTTCAGAGAGGAGAGAGAGTGTGTGTGTGTGAGTGTGTGTGTGTGGGTGGGAGAGTGCAGTGCAGTGCAGAGCACAGCACAGCAGAGTAGAGTGCTAGAGTGCAGGCAGCAAACCCTCAAACCATCTGCTGGGTTTAGTGTGTTTGAATGTTGTGCGGCGTGACAATGTGTTAAATGAGAGACTGAATGCAGTTTCTTGTTTCCACAGAACCGAAAGTGACTTTCCGTTGCAGCCAGCCAGCACGCTCGTCGGTGCACCCACAACATCGTCGTCGCTGATGGTGATGGTGATGGTGATGGTGGTGGCACACGAAGATCGCGCGCACAAAAGGAACTACACGAGCCAAGGCAAAGACATCATCAGACAGCACCGGCTTCTTTTGGTTTCTTGTGACAGGACACCTAACTACTACGGACTGGGCTTGCTCTAAGTGGCTGTGACGTCAGCATGGAAGGACTCGAGAAAGGACTCGCAAGTTGGATATGAAGTGAGCAGAGGGCGTGTTCTGTCAAAACGCTAAAACGAGGTCATGCTGCAGCTCTGCACCCCAACACCTCAACACGCACATCGACGCAAACCAACCAACGCACTTCCTTTTCGGATGCTCGGTGTGGCCTCTGTCGTCTGTGTTCTCTTTCCCGATTTGAAGGTATCGCATACGCACGAACGCATCAACGACTGCTTGGTTTACATTAATGCATGTCGACATGCATGAGGAAGCCATCGTCCGTGCATGTGTGTGTGTGTGTGTGTGCATGTGTGTGTGTGCGTGTGTAGGTGCATGTGTGCATGTGGGCGGGATGGAGGCGGCGATGTGACATGGTGGACTGGATGCACCCGTGCAACCGAGCCATGTGCACATGTTTGCTCGGTGATGGATCATCCACCATGCCACTATCGCTGCATACGCACGACGTCTGTCTTCACCACACCACCACCATGACACAGTTGGCATACAACACACGTTCCCCTCAAACGCCTCCTCCCGGTCTCTCACACACATCCCTGCTCTCCCTTCTCTTGTGCATCCTGCAGCGAAGTGCTTGCACGTGAATGGCGCAGAAGCTGCTGCTGCTGCCGCTGCTGCTGCTGCTATTGCTGCTGTTGGTACTGCTGCCGCCGCTGGTAGAAGTCCTCAATGAGACGATTGATGTTGAAAGGGGCGGATGCGCCGGCGAACTCCGCTGTCTTTTGATCTCCGTGACTGCACCAAGTGGCGATGCAGCAGGTTGCAGTTGCAATGGTCGGGGCGAGGATGATGTGGATGGTGGCTACGCTTCTCCGTGATCGCACCGAGTGCAGCCGTTGTCAGCTGGTACGGTCGCATGTGTGTTGCAGTGTGCTGTTGCTGTTGTGTCTTCAAAGGCCAAACGTGCATGCACAAATGCTGCTGCTGCTGCTGCTGCTGCTGCTGTTGTTGTTGTTGTTGTTGTTGTTGTTGTTGTTGTTGTTGTTGTTGTTGTTGTTGTTGTTGTTGCAGTACCTTCCATGGTCGTGCCACGCCACCTGCTTGCCTGTGCTTGAGCCGCATCTCACATCGTCCTTGCTTCCTCCTTACCTGCTGGCGCGTGCGTTTTGTGAAGAGCGTAGACACGTGTGTGAGCAGGTCAGCCACGCATCAAGAGACCCGTGTCGCAGCAACTGCACACACGCAACGGCAACAGAGGCACACCCACGCATGCGGGCTGTGAGCACAGGTACTCGCATCATCACAGCCACAGCTGCCGTTCGTTCGTGTACAGAGACACAGCGACAAAGACAGGCCGTGTGTGTGTGTGTGTCTGTGTGTGTGTGTCTGTGTGTGTGTGTGACAGAGGGGAACGGAGAGAAACAGAAAAGGGGACAGAGAAGTCGACGCACAGCAACAGCCCGTGGGCAGAGGCACTCGCATGTGCACACGTGTGTACTGACAGATATTGGGTGAAGGGGGCCATGGGAACCACCTGGGCAGCAAGTCCTGTTGGAGGGTGGTGGCACGACGAGGTTTGGTGCTTTGACGGCCAGTGTACAGCCCAGGTGTCGGTGGATGTAGAGGACGGACTGGAGAGGCGGGCCGTGGGCACCCACTGAGACCTGCGGAGATGACAGCAAGACAGCAGCAGCAACAGCAGCAGCAGCAACAATACGGTGAGTGAGAATGAAAAGGAGGTGATGGATGTGGAACAACAAGAACAAGCAGAACGAGGCGAGGAGGGCTTGTAACAGGAGAGCACCTCTGCTGCGAAAGGAGGAAGACAGACGTGCTGTGTGTGTGTGTGTGTGTGTGTGTGTGTGTGTGTGTGTGTGTGTGTGTGTGTGTGTGTGTGTGTGTGTGCGCGCGCGCGCATGCCTGGGCCTCACAGCCAGGCGCTGTTGCTTGTGCACACACGTGTTCGCAGTGCACCACTCGCTCAGTTGCACACATGTCCGCTCCCACAAACAAAACAAACACACACACGTGTACATGTAATCTCTGTTGCGTGCTGCTTACGCAAGGCCTCATCGTGTCACATGCGCGTGTCATTGCTTCAGCCCATGCTCGCGTGAGCGTTCACATCACAGGTTGCAGCCGTCATTGTCTTCCTCATGCACGCACGTGTGCACGTGCGTGCATATGCAGGTGCCAACACCACCGGCACCATCACACCACACCACCAGCACGTCTGCACTTGGTGCATGGCGGTTTTTTTTGTGCCTGTGTGTGTGTTTGTGTCGGTGTTTGTGTTTGTTGTGTGCTATCCACCGCCCAGGCATGTGCGTGCAATGTGTGTGCTTTGAGTGGTTTTCTATAATCTGTCTGCTGCGGGCGTCAACGTCGCCTCCTCTCTCGCGACCTCACCCCACCGTGCCCTCAATGCACAGGTGCAGGCAGTGACAAACGAGGCACCCGAGCACGTGTCGGTGTTTGTGTTTGTTGTGCGCTATCCACCGCCCAGGCATGTGCGTGCAATGTGTGTGCTTTGAGTGGTTTTCTATAATCTGTCTGCTGCGGGCGTCAACGTCGCCTCCTCTCTCGCGACCTCACCCCCCCCCCCAACACCACCGTGCCCCCAATGCACAGGTGCAGACAGTGACAAGCGAGGCACAGCATGCAGGCGTTGCCACAGCAGCAGCATGGTGTTGGGGGACCTTGTGGGCGCCAGGGAACTTGTGCTGACCCCCCGTAACGGAAAGGGGAAGAAGGAGACAACAGCAGCAAGAGCAGCAGCAAGTGCGCTCACACCAACACGAACCAGCACCACCACGAGTTTCACCGTAACCGCCAACGCAACTGCGACAACAACAACCGCAGCATCACGGGCTCATGAACAACAAGGAACCACTGCTGTGGTGGTGTTGGATAAACAGCAACTACTGCTGTGGTGGTGGTGTTGGATTTGCGTGCATGCAGTTTGAAGAAGAGACAACACAAACAAGCACAATGCGCTGCAGGCACGCCATCGAGCATGCAATCCACGCCGTCCACAGCATGCCCCCCCCCCCCCTTTGACGCCTTGGATCGTCTTGGATGGAGCAGGTGCAGTTGAAGCGGACAGCGGCGGGTGAAGAACGAACCCATTGGCGGTGCGGGCCAGAACAAGACACTGCCGGTGTCACGACGGGAGGCGATCGCTCGCTGTGGTGAAGCCGCCGCGGGCCGCCGCAGCAACAAGGAGGGGCTGGACCGATAGTCCGCACAGGACAGCACACTGCCACTGCAAGGTGCGACGCACATGCCGGATGTGTGGTTGAGGGTGAGATGTGATTTCCTGTTGTGGGGAGGTGTTGTGGGCTTGAGGCCGGGGTTTGTCTTGTGCGCTGTGCGGGGTTGTGCTGTGAAGGATCGCCATGCACACGCGTCGAGGGAATTGGAGGGGGCCTCACATCTGCGCACGCAAACATGCAATGATGGTGATTTGACGTTGCATGGCAGAGGTGTTGCTTATGTGCACACGGGGCGGACATACCTCCGTCTTCCGGGAGCTGTGGACCATCGCGGGACCATGTCGTTATTGTTGTTGCTTGGTTGGTTGGTTGTGGTTGGTTGGTTGGTTGGCTGGTTGTTGCTGTTGTTGCTGTTGTTGTTGGTTGGTTGGTTGGTTGGTTGGTTGTTGCTGCTGCTGTTGCTCCTCCTCTTCGTCCTGGTTTGCGTGACTGTGGCTATGAATGGGCGCAAGTGTTGCACAGCACGAGCGCGCTTGTGTGCTCACATGTGTTGTGCTGTGCCATCAGCGTGGCCACACCTTTGTGCGTTTCGTGTCTCTCATGTTGCTTCGGTTCTTTTTCCTTCAATATCTTGTCTTCCTCTCCTCTTCCTCTTGGTGTTCAGGAGAAGTCGTTGCATCACTCCGTGTCTTTCTGCGTCTTCCTTTCGGACATGATGCCGCTGGGATTACACATTTCGCCTCCCATCTTGCCACACGCTGTTGTTGCTGTCGCTGTCCCTGTTGTTGTGCCTGCCCAGCACGCGACGCCTCTCCAGACGGCATCGCCAGTGGCAACATCAGAGTTGATGCTGCCACTGTCGGCGTCTGTAGTAGTTGTGGTAGTGGTGATGACGGTGGTGTCAATGGCCGTTCTCTCGCATGGCTGCTGTTGTCGTCGCATGTGGGAGCTCTCCAACCACTGTCACTGGTAAGGTTACACCCGCCCTCTGTGTGTGTGTGTGTGTGTGTGTGTGTGTGTGTGTGTGTGTGTGTGTGTGTGTGGGTGTGTGGGTGTGTGTGTGCTTGTGTGCTTGTGTGCTTTGCAGTGTGCTGCTTTTACTTTTCCTTTTTTTTTTTTTGTGTGTGTGTGTGTGTGGTTGCGATGACAATGGAGCTGTCGCTGCGACTTGCCCGCTTCTCATGACGTCACGTCATCGCAACGCACCCAAACGCTTTACTGCAGAAATCACATTTCATTTTGTGCATTTTGGCAAATGCCACAGGCACAAGAAGGCACAGGCAAGGGGCTGGGAGGCGAGGCGGGAGCTGGGGACAGGCAAGTGGGGATGTGCCGGAGACAGTGGCGGTGGCGATGCAGAGAGGAGATATGGGGAGGGGAGAGGACAGTGGTCGTTGATCAGAAATGGGAGGTGGGGAATGAAGAGAGGGGTGGTGCGTTGTTGATGTGGGAGGGAGAGGGGGCAGGAGGGAGGGCGCTTGGGGAGTGGGTAGGGCAGAAGAGAGTTAGAGATAGTGTGACGAGACAGAGAGCGAAGGTGTGGAGCAGCACGGGCTTTGTGCAGATGGTGGTGGTGGTGGTGGTGGTGTCTTGAGAATCATCGCTCTCAAGGGGAGGGAGAGGGAGGAGACGAGAAAGAACAAGAAGAAGGTGATGATGATTGTGGTAGTGGTGGTGGTGATGCATTCTTGAGCGCGCCATGGTGTTGATATCTCACTCAGCACAATGCGGAGCCACCATCGGCGTCACCGGATGAGCCAGCATTGTCGTCGCCATTGCCGGGATCCTCGTCGCCGCTGGCGGTGCTGTTGCTGTCTTCGTTGTCTTCGTCGGAGGAGAGGTTGGCGTAGTACCGCTCATCTTCCTCGCGCTTCTTGATGAGGTGCATGGGGATCTTCCTCAGCAGCGGCCGGACGGGAGCGCGGGGGCGGCACTTGTACTTGTGGAGGTGAAAAGTGAGCGAAGATGCGGCAGCATGGCAAGGTGAGTTTTCGTGTGTGCGTGTATACTTTGTGCGTGTACAGTTGTGTGTGCGTATATACTTTGTGCGTGTACAGTTGTGTGTGTGTGTGGCTGTGGGTGCTCATTTATCTTTTGTGTATGGGCGTGTGTGTGTGTGTCTTAGCTGTTCGGCCATCGTGGCCTGACTGTGTCGTGCTGGACCTTGTATGTGTGCGTGTGTGTGTGTGTTTGCGTGTGTGATGGGAGCAGGCGAGAAACTCACGTTGTCGCTGTTGCAGCGCTTTGGAATGCCCCTGCGTGTGGAGTTGGCCACGCTCCTGGTGGGCCCGAGATGCACCTGCGCTGCGCTTCTGGCACTGCTGGCACTGCTGGCACTTGACTCCTGGTATGTTGTGGCCACATGCAAGGTGCAGTGTGCGCGTGTGAGTGACAGTGTGTGTGTGTGTGTGTGTGTGTGTGTGTGTGCGCGTGTGAGTGACTGTGTGTGTGTGTGAGTGACAGTGTGTGTGTGTGAGTGTGTGTGCGTGTGTGTGCATGTGCGTGTGCAGGTGATGATGTTGAGCTCATGATATGTCTTGTGTGTGTCGACACAGACCGGGGGCTTGTGCGGAGTGCCACTGCTGCTGGCGGCCCGGCGTTGCTCGGCTTCCAGCCTCTGCCGGTTCATGTGCTGGATGAGCTCCTGCGGCGGTGGTGGAGCAGCAGCCAGGGCATACGTGTATTTGAAGCACAAGGTGAACAATACGTGTGTGGTGCGTCTTTTGCCGTTGTGGGGAAATGTGGAACGCTTGGAGGTGTGTCTTGTCGTCTGGGTACCATATGTGTGTGTGTGTGTGTACGGTTGACTTACTTTTCCTGTGCAATGGCCCATGAGCCTGTCCTTCCAGGAGTAGATGTGGTCCGGAGGGAGCTGCTTCTTCTTGCTCACCGTGGGCCGCACATTCTTGCTCACTGTGGGCTGCATTGTGGCGGCGGCTGTTGTGCACATGCTGTCAAATGCATCCTCAGTGACACCGACGCCTGCAGCCGTGCTCGGCTGGACCTGTGGGTTGGTGCCTGGCACCTGCATGGCGGCCGTGGCCGTGGTTGTGGCCGTGGTTGTGGCTGCTGAGGAGGAGGAGGAGGAGGAGGAGCCCTCTGCCACGGTGGCGTCCACGGGAGAAGGGACGGCCAGCCGGACCCGCGTGTTCTGTGGCCGCTGAGCACGTGGGGAGCTTGGAGCTTGGGACGGCATGACGCCCTCTTCCTGCTGCTGCTGCTGCTGCTGCTGCTGCTGCTGCTGCTCGTTGTCGGTGGCATTCATGCTGTTCTCCATGCTGCTGCGGCGCTTCTGTGGCTGATGCTTTCCAGAGGTGTGTAGTTACGTGTGCTTGTATGCTTGTGTGCGTGTGTGTGTGTGTGTGTGTGCGCGTAAATGTGCTTGTGGCTTTTGAGCTTTGTGGGGTTGACTTTGAAATTTGGGCGCGTGCACGCGAAGAGGAGCAAGTTTGCAAGTTGCTTTGCATGGGCTTGCAAAATGCAACGCGTTGCGGCGTTGCTTGCGCTTGTGTGCTGTGGGGGTTGCGGTGCAACTGATCCCTGTGAGTACCGCTCCCTCCTCTCCTCTCTCTCTCTCTCTGCCCTCGTTGTGGTGTGTTGTGTTGACTGGCTGCCATCATTGACGCACACAAGCTCACTGGCACTGCTGCCGCATGTTGCGTTACGTTGTATTTGTTGGATGGTACAGGCGACAAGAGACAACAAGAAGAGTGCAGGTACGGGAGTACGAGGACAGAATGGGCCAAGTGGGGCTGAATGAGGTCCAGCACATTGCAGAGACAGCAGCTGGAAAGGGCGGGAACGACGGCAGCTTGGGGAACAGCGCAGACGAGTCACGATGACGAGGGACGGAAGAGTTGCGAACAGAGTGGGTGCCACAACAGCGACATCCGAGAGAAGTCAGGAGAACAGCAGGCAAAGAAGAAAGAAGGGAAGGTGCAGGAGGCTGGTGCCAGACCGATGACAGCTGCAGAGGCGAGGGAAGCAACATTAAGGATCAGCATTGGCAGGAGGAGGAGGAAAGGAAGAGGATGGGGTGGTGGGAAAGGAAGAGACAGCAGAGACGTGGAGACATGGCAGCGAGAGACAGGCGAAAGGAGGACAACGGGCTTGGTTGGCATGCACGAGTGCGTGACCAGGGGTGACTGGCTGGGTGGTTGGGCTTGTGGGGACGTATCGGTGGCGCTGGTGGTGGTTCCTAGTTGCTGGACGTGGCGTTGGTGTTGAGGTGGTCGGATTACTTAGTCGGACTCGGAGTCGGACTCGGGCTCGGCATCGCTGAAGCAGAAGAGGTCGTCGTTGATGTTGTTGACCTGCATGCCGTTGCCGAACGCGGCGTTGTGGACCTGCAAGTTGGCGACCGTGAGTGGCGCGGTACCTTGAGCTGCGGCTGCTTGGACGGCGACCGTGTTGGCTGCGGTCGTGGCCTGGCCACCTTGGTGCATGACGGCACCGGGTGCGTTGTTGCCGTGCGTATGGGCGAGCCCGAGGTTGGGGAGGACGTTGGTGTTGGCCTGGTTGTTGGACATGGTGCTGGCTTTGGCGGCTCTTCACAGACGTACAGAGGTGTGTGTATTGGGTGGCGTTGAGTGGTAGCGTTGGAGTTGGTTGGGTGGCGTTGAAGCAAAGTGAGTTGCCTTGACTGTGCTGCGTTGTGTGGTGTGCGCTGCTGTTGTGCTGTGTGCATTTGTGTTGGTGATTGCTTCGCCTGCTGAAAATATTTGGCGTGGAAGTACGCATTGGCGAAGCTTAGATCGTTCTTTTTGATCTACCACATCTTTTTGCTTTGTGTGTATTATTTTGTTATTTTTGTGCGGGGAGACGGGGGGCGGGGCGTCGCTGCTTGCTGTGCGTGGCGGTGGTGGTCATGCTTTGTCCGCTGGGAGCTTTGCGATGAAAGCTGTGGTGTATTGCTCACATGCCAGTGCCACTGGTTGTGTGTTTTGCCTTTGCTGTTCTGTTGGCAGTGGCGCGGAATGGTCTGTCGAATGCCAGACGCAACGTGGAAGGTGGTGACCCTGTTGTGTGTGCGTGTGAGTGTGAGTGTGTGTATGTGTGTGAGTGTTGTGTATAAGCATGAGCGTGAGTGTGTGTGTGTGTGCATATGTGGTGCTCGTGTTGTTGGGTGTTCTTGGATGCCTATTTGTGCGACGCTTGCTGGCGTCGTGTTTGTCGCAAGCTCACGGTGCTTGCGCCTTGCCTCCTTTGCTGTTGTCGCTGTTGTCGCTGCTGTTGTCTTGGACGCAACGTGGAAGGTGGTGACCCTGTTGTGTGTGCGTGTGAGTGTGAGTGTGTGTATGTGTGTGAGTGTTGTGTATAAGCATGAGCGTGAGTGTGTGTGTGTGTGCATATGTGGTGCTCGTGTTGTTGGGTGTTCTTGGATGCCTATTTGTGCGACGCTTGCTGGCGTCGTGTTTGTCGCAAGCTCACGGTGCTTGCGCCTTGCCTCCTTTGCTGTTGTCGCTGTTGTCGCTGCTGTTGTCTTGGCAGGGTGGCGATCAGCCTTCTTCTGCCCTTGCCTCATGGCCACGTGTTGCCAGTGCTTTCGTGCCTCCACGCATCGACCCACTACGCCCACAGACCATACGCGCTTACCTTGCTGTCTTCCTTTGCTGGGTGGTTCCTGCGGCTTGAGCGTGCTGCACGTCCATCTCCGGTGCCACAAGTCTCCCGCGTTATCCATTCGGCGTTGCTGCTCGCCCACATGCATCTGTGTGTGTGTCGTGTCGTGTGTCGTGTCGTGTGTCGTATGCGTATCTTTGCTCAATCACTGTTGTCAGCTGTGCGTTGTGCGTGCTCTGCCGCTGCTTGGTCTGTGCTTCCTGATCCGAGTCGACTGCTTTCTTCTTGGTTACTTGGTTGCTTGCCGTTCCTGTGTCATGCACAACACCAGTACACGTTCTTCTGCTCCGTTGGCACTCCCAGTATTCTGGCAACTCTGAATCTGCACATGCGCGCGCGCGTGTGTGTGTGATGTGTGTGTGTGTGTGATGTGTTGATGACGAGGATGGAGGGGGATGTCGTGTCAACTGCTGTGTCACTGCTGTGAGCGTGCTGGATCGAGCGGCGGCAGGCGTGGTCAGGGTGACTGGAAACTTGCCTTCATTCAGTTGCACGAGGGAAGCAAAGGGGCTGACTGATGTGAAGCGAAATCAGGCAATCACATGCGAGCTCTCGTCCATTGCGCGTCCTGACGTTCGTCCGTTGTGTGGAAGCGGCAGAGAAGTTTGGGCTGAGCAGATATTGCCGTCGCCTCATCATGCAGGGGAAGAGGTCGAAGATCTGTTGGTCCAGTGGCTCCTCTTTTCGGCTCCATTCGGGTCGCGCGTCCCGTCCGTTTCTTCATCGACAAGGGCCAGTCAACAAGGAGGGTCTGCCATTGTGGGGAAGAGCGCGTGTGAACAGTGGAAACAAGTGCAGAGTACTCGAGTATCGACACGATCCGGTGCTGTGCTTGCTTTGCCATGAACATAGACAGACTCAAGATGCTGCGGTTGGCGCCAAAACAACACTGC